AACAGATCAGAGTCCGAAAACCAAAACAACCCACCCAGGGTGGGCGAGGGCAACGAAAAGTCTCTGGAGCCCGGTTGTGGGGCCGGAGCTGAGAGAGACGCTCTGGAGGCCGGCCGTGGGGCCGGAGCTGAGAGAGACGCTCTGGAGTCCAGCCGTGGGGCCGGAGCTGAGAGAGACGCTCTGGAGGCCGGCGTCTCCAATGCTGCAGGAACCTAGGAGGAGGACGCCGCCTCTGCTTCAGCAGGATGCACCGAGGAGGACGCCGCCTCCGCTTCTGCTGCTCTGCAACAGGCTCAGACAGGGCGCCCACTGCGGCTCTGGATCAGGAACAGAGGAGACCATCGACTGTGGCTCCAAATCAGGAACAGAGGAGACCACCGACCACGGCTCCGAATCAGGAACAGAGGAGACCACCGACTGTGGCCCCGAATCAGGAACAGAGGAGACCACCGGCCGCGGCTCCGAATCAGGAACAGAGGAGCCCGCCGATCGCGGCTCCGAATCAGGAACAGAGGAGCCCGCTGACTGCGGCTCCGAATCAGGAACAGAGGAGCCCACCGATTGCGGCCCCGAACCAGGAACAGAGGAGCCCGCCGACTGCGGCTCCGAACCAGGAACAGAGGAGCCTGCCGACCGCGGCTCCGAATCAGGAACAGAGGAGCCCGGCGACTGCGGCTCCGAATCAGGAACAGAGGAGCCCGCCGACAACGGCTTCGAATCAGGAACAGAGGAGCCCGCCGATTGCGGCTCCGAATCAGGAACAGAGGATCCCACCGATTGCGGCTCTGAATCAGGAACAGAGGAGCCCGCCGATTGTGGCTCCGAATCCACCACGGAGGGGGCCTTGAAGGCTTGGAGCACCCACTGAGGTGCCTTGGAGGCTTGGAGCGCCCGCTGAGGGGCCTTAGAGGCTCTGAGCGCCCGCTGAGGGGCCTTAGAGGCTTGGAGCACCCGCTGAGGGGCTCTTGGAGCTCATGGCGGTGGCAGAAACGGAAAAAAATTCATCTCTCTCCCCATAAAAAAAGCTCCAAAGGTCAGACTCCTGTAGATGGGGAGGGCTGAGGTGTTCACATGCCTGGTTCTCTGCTGCGTCCATGTTAAGGCTGGATCCTTCTGTCATGATCGAGGTGTTTGTATGGAGGACCCAAACGCAGAGACCGGTAGGCAGAGGTGAAATAAGGTCTGTTTATTCTGGTTAACAGATCCAGGGGCAGGAATCAGAGTCCAACAGAAAATTACAGACGTACCAGAACCAGGAGACATCAGAGGTAAACAAAAACTAGAAGCCAGGGAGAGACGAGGAACACAGAC